ATGCATTTATAGATGGGGATGTAAAAGAAGTAAATGCTAGGGTGTTTGGGAGAGGGGTGGGATTCAATTATGGGGAATTAAATACAAAATGGGAAGTGACACAGTTACTTTTTGCTGATGATACTGTGCTTATGGGAGATTCTAAAGAAAAATTGCAAAGGTTAGTGGACAAATTTGGGAGTGCGTGTAAAGGTAGAAAGTTGAAACTGAACATAGAAAAGAGTAAGGTGATGAGGGTATCAAATGATTTAGATAAAGAAAAATTGGACATCAAATTGGGAAGGAGTATGGAAGAAGTGAATGTTTTCAGATATTTGGGAGTTGATGTGTCAGTGGATGGATTTATGAAGGATGAGGTAAATCATAGAATTGATGAAGAAAAAAAGGTGAGTGGTGCATTGAGATATATGTGGAGGCAAAACAATGTTATCTATGGAGGCAAAGAAGGGAATGTATGAAAGTATAGAAGTACCAACACTCTTATATGGGTGTGAAGCTTGGGTTGTAAATGCTGCGGCGAGGAGGCGGTTGGAGGCAGTGGAGATGTCCTGTCTAATGGCAATGTGTGGTGTAAATATTATGCAGAAAATTCGGTGTGTAGAAATTAGAAGGTGTGGAGTTAATAAAAGTATTAGTCAGAGGGCTGAAGAGGGGTTGTTGAGGTGGTTTGGTCATTTAGAGAGAATGGATCAAAGTAGAATGACATGGAGAGCATATAAATCTGTAGGGGAAGGAAGCCGGGGTAGGGGTCATCCTCGATAAGGTTGGAGGAAGAGGGTAAAGGAGGTGTTGTGGGCAAGGGGTTTGGACTTCCAGCAAGCGTGTGTGAGCGTGTTAGATAGGAGTGAATGGAGACAAATGGTATTTGGGACCTGACGAGCTGTTGGAGTGTGAGCAAGGTAATATTTAGTTAAGGGATTCAGGGAAACCGGTTATTTTATATAACTGGACTTGAGTCCTGGAAATGGGAAGTACAATGCCTGCACTCTAAAGGATATTGGCAGTTTGGAGGGATATATTGTGTATTTTTATACGTATATACTTCTAAACTGTTGTATTCTGGGCACCTCTGCAAAAACAGTGATTATGTGTGAGTGAGGTGAAAGTGTTGAATGATGATTAAATTATTTTCTCTTTGGGGATTTTTTCTTTCTTTTTGGGTCACCCTGCCTCGGTGGGAGATGGCTGACTTGTTGAAAAAAAAAAAAATCTACAATATACTACACAAGCATATATAGGGGGAATTCAGTACCTATATTGACAGCTCAGTCATGTTATGTATGGCGTCTCAACATACCATACTCTACAGGCTGAACAGGCAGGTGGCTCTGGGCTGATTCTATACAATAGCAAAGACATATGTAACGTAGAACTAATCACGGGATGGATATTACTGTAATGGCTGGTAAATGTAATGGATGGTATCATAATGCATTACGAATTATTGTAACAAATCACAGTAAAGTAAAAGATAGAACTGATCAATCAATCTGTATTCATACACTCTACGAATTCTGAGGAAGAATATATACTATTTACAAAGAGGAAAGTATTTAACAGCAAAGGCAGACCTGGCACGCACAGGTCATTACTGCTAAATCTCAGAATTTGGAGGGAACGTGAACACAAAAAAATTTTTTTTTGAAAACTGATCAGCTAATAAAACACACAGCTCACAACTTCAATCAACTTGATCATCTAATTATACAGGCTATGTACATTTAAACCCAACTGTGAGGGTAAGATTTACATATGCAGAATGGTTATCGTCTGAATGAGTATCGATCTGAATGAGTATCTACAGAAGATGCTTGGGGGTTTCTCATTAATCGTCGTGTACGCAAGGACTAATGACATTCAGGTTAATCACCTGACTGAGTGTTAGAGGTAGAGGGTACAGTCAGGAGGATTGTCGTTGTCTGTCACATTAGTCTGGGTAGAAATATCATCGTCAACATCACATACTAACTTCATATGATCTAAATGTGATTCTCTATACTGACCCGTACTAATTTCTCTAACTTTATACTTATTGCCACTGATATGTTCAACTACTCGATAAGGACCAACAAACTTGATTGTGCTTAGGCATTGCAGATGTTTTGTTGAAGTTAGTCAGCATTATTCTTGAAACCACTTTAACCTTGGTCGGCTTAGCACAGCTATTAGTTACTCTTGTAAATTCTGCTGTTGACTTATGGAGCGTTTCTCGGACTCTCCTTAAAACACTGAGCTAGACTGGTACGAGTGGCTATGAAATCATCAGGGTTTTAAGTGGGTTTCTGTGTGGAATATAACAACTCCTAAGACAAACACTTGTCTATACCGTACTATGTATAATGTGGAGTGTCACCTATCGAAGCATTGTAAGCAGAATTTATAGCACACTGAACATCAGGTATGACTTCATCCCAAGTTTCACTATTGGGGTCAACAGTGACTCTTTAGTCATCAAGAACTTTCTTACCGGTTTGTTCCGCCAAACCATTACTCGCAGAATGATGGGGAACAATGGCTGACAGAGATCTTGTACAAGGTACACAAATTTTCAAGAATCTCATTGCAGAATTCACCTCCATTATCGGTTATTAGGGACTTGGGGGTTGCTCTTTAAACGCTTTGGTTACAGTCTCGGCAGTCTTATCTGCAATAGGCACCAACTCTCAATATCTGGTGAAATGATCTACCATAACACACACATTTGTTGCCTTGGAGAGAACATTGGAAACTGGTTAACAGATCTACAGTAACTCTTTCCCATGGTTCACTCGTGGTGGGATACACCTGGATAGAATTTGGACCGTTGATATTTCCTTTATGTTGCATACATACACCTACATTTCTTGACAAAACTTCAGTGGTCAGTTGGCCATACATTCCCAAAAGTATTTATCTTCTGGCTTGGGTTTCAAGAAAATCTCCATGTTGCATAACACCTAATGGTGCGGGTGACAGCAGTAGAGGTCTTCCTGGACAGGAATTACCAACACTGGGTCTGTTTCCTTACTGGAGGATACCAACTTGGCTGTTTCGACAAAAAGTATTCTTGGTTATAAAAGCCACTAAGGGGTGGGGAGTCCCACAGGTAAAGGAAAAGATCAATCTCGGGACCCCAGGAATCGGACAAACCACGAGTCAATCGGGACGGTTTTACTTACGGGAGGAATCGAGGCCAACACGGTCAATGGAGTGCACTCTTCCGGACGGCCAAACCACAGTCAATCCGGGAGAAAAGAGCCCGGGGACCAGAAGCAGGGTCCAGGGGGAGCCCAACCACGAGTCAATCCGGGACGGCCCAACCACGAGTCAATCCGGGACGGCCAAACCACGAGTCAATCCGGGACGGCCAAACCACGAGTCAATCCGGGACGGCCAAACCACGAGTCAATCCGGGACAGCCAAACCACGAGTCAATCCGGGACGGCCAAACCACGAGTCAATCCGGGACGGCCAAACCACGAGTCAATCCGGGACGGCCAAACCACGAGTCAATCCGGGACGGCCAAAGCACGAGTCAATCCGGGACGGCCAAACCACGAGTCAATCCGGGACGGCCAAACCACGAGTCAATCCGGGACGGCCCAACCACAAGTCAATCCGGGATGGCCCAACCAGGAGTGAATCGGGAACGGCCCAACCAGGAGTGAATGGGGAACGGCCCAACCAGGAGTGAATGGGAAGGCCCAACCAGGAGTGAATGGGGAATGGCCCAACCAGGAGTGAATCGGGAACGACCCAACCAGGAGTGAATTGGGAACGGCCCAACCATGAGTCAGTGGGGATGGCCCAGCCAGGAAGTGAATCGGGGAAGCCCAGGGAACCCGGATGTGAAGTCGGGAGGCCCAACCAGGAGGGGGAGGGGGTGGGAACGGCCCAGCCAGATGTCAGTCTAGGGGAGGCCCAACCAACATGTCGTGGGGGAGCCCAAACAGGCAGTCTGGGGGAAAGACCCAACTGTCATTCGGGGGGGAGCCAACCCAGCAGTCCAGTCTGGGGGGGAGAGCCCAACCAACAGTCTGGGGAAAAGAGCCCATCCAGCAGTCTGGGGAAAAGAGCCCATCCAGCAGTCAGTCCAGGGGGAGAGCCCAACCAGCAGTCAGTCCAGGGGGGAGAGCCCAACCAGCATTCAGTCCGGGGAAAGAGCCCAACCAGCAGTCAGTCAGGGAAAGAGCCCAACCAGCAGTCAGTCAGGGAAAGAGCCCAACCAGCAGTCAGTCAGGGAAAGAGCCCAACCAGCAGTCAGTCTGGGGAAAGAGCCCAACCAGCAGTCAGTCTGGGGAAAGAGCCCAACCAGCAGTCAGTCGATGGGGAGAGCCAAACCAGCAGTCAGTCCAAGGGGAGAGCCCAACCAGCAGTCAGTCCAAGGGGAGAGCCCAACCAGCAGTCAGTCCAAGGGGAGAGCCCAACCAGCAGTCAGTCCAAGGGGAGAGCCCAACCAGCAGTCAGTCCAAGGGAGAGCCCAACCAGCAGTCAGCCCAGGGGAGAGCCCAACCAGCAGTTGGGGACGGCCCAACCAGGAGTGAATCGGGGATGGCCCAACCAGGAGTGAATCGGGAACCGCCCAAACAGGAGTGAATCTGGGTCGGCCCAACTATCATGTCAGTCTGGGGAGGGAACCCAAGCCACAATGTCAGTCGAGCGGGGGAGCCCAGGGAACGGTGTCAGTCTGGGGGTTGCCCAGGGAATGGTGTCAGTCTGGGGAAGGGGGGAGCCCAACTAGCAGTCAGTCTGGAGGGAGACCCTAACTAGCAGTTTAGTTAAATATTTTAAATAACATGGATCCAAACCAGTCTAGAAAGATGAACTATGTGGCACCTGATCTGAACAATAACAAAGTGACAGCAAACTCCAAGAAGTTTTTGGGTAAGGCAATGGTACTTAATTTTACTCTTTTGAAAGTCAAGATGCATGAGCAAGAACTACAGCTCAACCCCCGAAACTCAAATGGATAGACTAATCACAAGTAAGTAGCTAATTACACAAGATTCTAAGTGCCTTACCTTATGATAATAATTAGGATCAGCCCCTTGAGATAACAACCGTAAAGAGGTTTCTAGGTTGGCAGTTCGAACACTGGAATGTAGCTGCCGACTTAAATCCCCATCATTCCCACTTGGATCATCCCGTAAAGGTCGGTAAACAAACGATAACATCTGATGTTTGGCTCTGATGAAGTCAGCTTTGGTTGGGCTGCAAGAAATGAGAATTAAAAGACATGCAAGATACAGTAATGTACTTAATACATATTAAGTATGGTAAAAAAAATATTTATTATGTACATGATGCATGCACACAAGCTGAAAATAAGACTGTTTCTTAGCTGTCATATACTGACAAAAAATAATATATTTTTTTTTATTTATTATCACACTGGCCGATTCCCACCAAGGCAGGGTGGCCCGAAAAAGAAACTTTCACCATCATTCACTCCATCACTGTCTTGCCAGAAGGGTGCTTTACACTACAGTTTTTAAACTGCAACATTAACACCCCTCCTTCAGAGTGCAGGCAGAAATAAGACAGTATGCAAAAAAATTATTTTTTTCTATAAAAGCTGACCAAGAAAATATTCACGTTTCTGTTCTCCCAGTTACAAATTAACTAACAAATTTAAAGTGTATTGTCAAGTGTATTGTCAAAAGAATCATTGTCACTAAAGAACCTTATTCACTGTTTAAGTACGATCTATTATCCGTGTAGAAACTTTCTTGTGAACACGGACACGGAAATGTGTGTACGGCAAGCTCACTACCAACCTGCCTTGAGGCAGTGACCTGGAGTTTCCCTGGAGAGAGTTCCTGGGGTCAATGCCCCCACAGCCCGATCTGTGACCAGGCCTCCTGGTGGATCAGAGCCTGATCAACCAGGCTGTTACTGCTGGCTGCACGCAATCCAACGTACAAGCCACAGCCCGGCTGATCAGGTACCGACTTTAGGTGCTTGTCCAGTGCCTGCTTGGAGATAGCCAGGGGTTACCTGGAGGTTATTCCAGGGATCAACGCCCCCGCAGCCCGGTCCATGACCAGGCCTCCCGGTGGATCAGGGCCTGATCAACCAGGCTGTTACTGCTGGCCGCACACAGTCCAACGTACGAGCCACAGCCCGGCTGATCTGGCACTGACTTTAGGTATCTGTCCAGCTCTCTCTTGAAGGCAGCTAGGGGTTTATTGGTAATTCCCCTAATGCTTGATGGGAGGCTGTTGAACAGTCTTAGGCCCCGGACACTTATGGTGTTTTCTCTTAGTGTACCAATGGCACTCCTACTTTTAATTGGGGGTATTTTGCATCCCCCTTATGTATGCTGGGAGGCAGTTGAACAGTCTCGGGCCCCTGACACTTACTGTATTGTCTCTTAACGTGCAAGTGACACTCCTGCTTTTCATTGGGGGGACATTGCATCGTCTGCCGAGTCTTTTGCTTTCGTTGAGAGTGATTTTTCGTGTGCAAGTTCGGTACTAGTCCCTCTAGGATTTTCCAGGCGTATATAATCACGTATCTCTCCTGGCCTGAACATTAACCACTGTAATGTATAATAGCTAAATCCATAGCAGTCAGTACACCAAACTGACACTTAGCCAGGCAGTGTACAACTGCAGAAGAAAACACTTCCTAACTATCCACAACATTATGTAGAATAAATCACTAAAATAACATATCACTGGCTCAGGGACAGTTACCCCTAAAAAAAAAAAATTTGCAGTATTACACAAAACATTCAGAATGCCATAAGCAGATTATGCCAAGAACAGTATGAATGCCTAGTGAAGCACCCGCTAGTCAGTGCACACAATCCTGAATGTGCCAGGCACTACTAGTTTAAGGGACAGAGACAGGCAGTTATGGTGGTTAAGTAAATTACAGTAAGCTAAGTTCAGATATTCATTTAGGATCCAAGTCTCATCACTATAATTCTCACACACATTAACACCCCTTTTCTTTTGACAGTTTCATAAACAGTACTGCCATTCCTACCACAGTATCAGCATGTCCATCTTCATTAATTCACTTGCAGATACATCCAACATAAGAACTTCTCATTAAAACTTTCCTAACCCTTTTAGTTTTGTTTCATTGTGTTAGAGCATCAAGTTTACCTTCATTCATAACATCTACAGTACATCATTTCTTTACAGAGTATCTGTATTAAATCCAGTAGAAGATGTAAGTCATTACACATTACAGTAATTTTAAAGCTAAAATGGAGTTACAAGAAATTAAGAAAACTTTTCTGGAGAGTTAAATCCAATACAATGTTCATAATATCAGTGGAAAAATATTCAAAGGATAATATTTACAGTGCAACAACAGAGGGATTGTGGAAAGCTCAAACTTCTGTATATGGTAAATAATAAAATTGCTACACATACTGAACAGGATCCTTGTGGTGAGGCTTACGTCTTCCTGTCTTGGCTACACTAGGGTCAAGCAGTGTATGTTCCCATATGTTGTTGGCACCACTGCTATATAAATTGTGCACCATCTGTAACATATCTGTACTGTACAATACTGTATAGTAGAATACATGTGCATATTCTGCAGAGTGGAAAACTCATTCTCCAAAGGAAAATTCTTATATAACATATTATATTTCATTATATTAAAAGGGCATGAATGAAAGAATTGTACCTACAATTAATCAACATGACCTAATACTTAAATGCTGCATATGAGTGTCTCCCAGTCACTTGCATCTGAACACAGTATATATACATTACAAAGAATTCACACTAACATTTTTACAACAACACTGCACTACACAAAAACGTATTTCATAAACCTACAGCATGTTGCGTAGGATTCCATGTTCCTTTTTTGAGTGACTTGACTTGAGATATGTGTCTTCCAAGAGACCTGTGCACACTGCAGCACTCATCACAGATTAGTATACCTCGGTTTATAGATGCCCAGCCCGGCTCTAGGGAAAAAAAAGAAAACCTGTTAAATACAGACAAAAAAATAAAACATTACTAATGGCGTATTTTTGTCATGTTTTTACCTACTGTTGTAACTTTATAAAGTAAAACCTGGATTATACTTGGAGGGGGTTTCGGGGGTCAACGCCCCACGGCCCAGTCTGTGACCAGGCCTCGCAGTGAATCTGGGCCTGATCAACCAGGCTGTTACTGCTGGCCGCATGTAAACTGACGTACAAATCACAGCTTGGCTGGTCAGGTACTGACTTTATGTGCCTGTCCAGCACCTTCTAGAAGACAGCCAGGGGTCTATTGGTAATCCCCCTTATGTATGCAATAAATATATTTTGTCTTGTTGCTGTCAAGTACAAGTCTTGATTCAATTTGGGAAATTGTAGAATTAGTTATGATGCTCTTCCTACAGAGGAAGTGTGTTCAAAATTCTAATCCTAATCCTAAAGATGCATATATGATCAAGTAAATGAGACTGCAGTAACAGCCGCTCAATGAGAGAAAAGACTGTAAAACCAACAAGCTAATATAAGGACACTACAGAAAAATTATAACATTGCTGAAAAAGCTTGGACTTCAAGCAAAGCATTGTCCATTGGGTCTTTTTTGCTTTTATCAAAGCTTTAATTGGGTTAAATATAAATATGATTTTAAGACTATAGTACTACAGTGGACCCTCGACCAACGATGGCATCGTATAACGTTAAATCCGACTAGCGATACATTTTAACGCAAAAATTTTGCCTTGACTAGCGCTAAAAAACTCGGCCAACGCGATTCGCTCCATTCGAGATGCGTCCACTTGTGGCCAGTGTTTACAAGCCAGCCAGCAAGCCACCGCGGTCCCATCCAAACATACAATCGGAACATTTCATATTATCACAGCGTCTTTAGTGATTGCACCTGCAAAATAAGTCACCATGGGCCCCGAGAAAGCTTCTAGTGCCAACCCTACAGCAAAAAAGGGTGAGAATTACTATGGATATGAAGAAATAGATCATTGCTAAGTATGAAAGTGGAGTGAGTGTCTCCAAGCTGGCCAGGTTGTACAGAAAACCCCAATCAACCATTGCTGCTATTGTGGCCAAGAAAACGGCAATCAAGGAAGCTGTTCTTGCCCAAGGTGCAACTATGTTTTCGAAACTGAGATCGCAAGTGATAGAAGATGTTGAGAGACTGTTATTGGCGTGGATAAATGAAAAACAGATAGCAGGGGATAGCATCTCTCAAGCGACCATATGTGAAAAGGCTAGGAAGTTGCATGACGATTTAATTATAAAAATGCCTGCAACTAGTGGTGATGCAAGTGAATTTAAGGCCAGCAAAGGTAGGTTTGAGAGATTTAAGAATCATAGTGGCATACATAGTGTGATAAGGCATGGTGAGGCTGCCAGTTTGGACCAAAAAGCAGCTGAAAAATATGTGCAGGAATTCAAGGAGTACATAGACAGTGAAGAATTGAAACCTGAACAAGCGTTTAATTGTGACGAAACAGGCCTGTTTTGGAAGAAAATGCCAAGCAGGACCTACATTACTCAGGAGGAAACGACACTCCCAGGACATAAGCCTATGAAAGACAGGCTTACTCTGTTGATGTGTGCTAATGCTAGTGGTGATTGCAAAGTGAAGCCTTTACTGGTGTATCACTCTGAAACTCCCAGTGTGTTCAGGAAAAACAATGTCCTCAAGGACTTGACACCTCAAGTCCTAATGGAAGGGGATTCCCCTTCTAAACACTAACTCCATCCACACTCTCCCCTCCTCCCATCCCATCAATCATCACCAGATCTCCAATAAAGGTAAGTGTCATGTAACAGTACATATCTTCAGTTTGTATTTATTAAAATTAATATTTCATGTGGTAATTTTTTTTTTTCAATACTTTGGGGTGTTAGGAACAGATTAATTTGATTTCCATTATTTCTTATGGGAAAAATTAACTCTACTAACAATTTCGATTAACAATGAGCTCTCAGGAACGGATTAATATTGTTGGTCGAGGGTCCACTGTATTTTAAATTTTTACAATATTTGCACTAAGTACATATATAATGAAGATTAAACCAACATCATCTCAAAGCCAAACACAGTACAGCCTCTCCTCACTTAATGACGGAGTTCCATTTCTAAGACCACATCGTTAAACGAATCCGTCGCTAAGTGAGGAACATAGTACTATAATAATATGGGTTTGTGTCAACCATCTTTGTTATTGTTTTAACATCACCTTTGCACCATTTATAACATTTCTGGTATATGTGTTTTTAAATGTTTATACAGTAGTGTACTGTATATTGAAATAAACAAAAGAGAAAAAAAGCTGTAATATACATTATTTAGGTATAAATACTGGTTAGAGAGACCGTTGAAAGTCCGAGGCATTGGTAAACAAGTACATAGCTAAGTGAGGAAAGGCTGTACTGTACTGTAGTATGATTTACCAGTCCTACATTTCCACTGACATCTGCAAGTTCGCTAAACTAGCAATATACCACACTCAGGAATGAGGAATGGTCCGACATGCACCATTATTTAGTCATATACTTGTTAATGGTCCAAAAGTCGAACCGAAACATCACAAGTTTCGTTTTCACATATGCAGGTTATGTGTGTATGCAAATAATGATATGGTTGTTATTAGCTTGCCTACTAAACTAGACAAAAACACTAAATGCACAATAGGTCCCATGGCCTGGTAGGCAATGTTCTCGCTTCACACACCGGGTGTCCATGGCAAGGCTGGAAACACTGGGTGTGTTTCCTTACACCTGCTGTCCTGTTTACCTAGCAAGTAGGTACATGGTGTTAGTCAACTGGTATGGGTCACATCTGGGGAACAAAACTGAGAACCACAATAGAAATAAGACAGACAGTCCCTTGATAACACACCGAATTTTTTGGGTTATCCTGGGTGGCTAACCCCCCAGGGTTAAAAATCCAAACAAAATCCTATCTCAATGTCTAATAGCCGTCCAAGATTCACTATAGATATCACAGAATCGAATGATAACAAACCTGACTTTGTTTCTATGGCTGTTAAGTGTGATGCAGCTGTCATTTAAAAAACTAACAGCAAAGCAGATTTACTTAATGACTCTGATATTAAGTATTGTTAAATAAGAATCGTCTAACATTTTATTTCGGCAAGACCATCCATCCAAACATACATAATTACAGTAGATTATAATCACTGGAAAACATACATATATATTAGTGGATTATAATAACAAGGTGAGAAACGGCCGATGTGTTAATAAAAATAAATTATAATGTCTGGGAAACATATATAATAGTGGATTATAACCCCCCCCCCCGAAACAAAATTTTGATTGGGTCGTACATGTTAAAAAATGGAAGTTATAATCCAAGAGAGATACATCCAATTCCTGGGATCAAGAGCCCCTGACGGGGTGGAGGCACTTCCCTTAAGGGGTATATATATACATATATATATATATCATCAGAGGTAGGTAGGTAGGATGGTAGGGAGGGGGTGTGAGGTATCTTACCTGGCGCCCCACAGTCTGCACACACATCCTGAGAGCTCCTGGGCTTGCTCCTGGCCCCTCCCCCTACACGAGACATCCTGCACACCGCCGCATCCTACACGCCCATGCCACCATACCCACAAGCTGCCCTACTCAAGTCTGGCCACAAAATAAATCTTTTTCTCGAGTCACTCTCAAGTTCTGTTTTCATTCACGCTCTTGCAAGTACCCCAACGCTCTTCTAAAGTGTAATAAATATATATTATCCACATATATCTGCACTATTAAATGCTATTACGCAAAACGGCATTAATACTTTTGAGTACTGTGTTTTGTAAAATATTTCGAAAGGAAAGGGAAAGTCGTTAAAGCTTTAATTAAAATAATACTGGAACTAGGGTAGGGATAGTGCCGAGCCCTTATTAAGTCTCTATTATATTTAAACAATATCCTCTTCATTTTGGCATAATTTTCACCTCTCATGATGTTTAAGATACATATATTAGATAACGCAACGTCGTGGTATAAATATACAAAACAGATTTTGGGAGAAAACACTCAAGAGGTGAAAACTTTGTTTTCTCTCACACTCACCTGCCCAGGTTTCGTTTTCTTTGTCACATATATTGTAGAACTAAATAAACACTGTATTACACAATAAAATACACCTATTAGTGAAATTACAATAATGTGGGATGGTAGAGGAAAGTGGAATACTGAAACGACTTCAGGGAGAAATCCAAATTTTGTTCCCAAGACACCAATGGAAATAAATCACTGACGGTTTTTGGGTTATCCTAGGTAATGTACACATATGTTTATCATGTTGATATTTGGTAATATGTAGTGTACCTGTACCTAAATAAAGTACTTGCTTCCTTACAATTATGTTACCATGCACTTAAATAGTTGACTCCCTTCAGGCCAATGGACCATAAAGCAGTCTTTTCCCCGAGGTTATGGATCCTAGTTTGTACTGACGTGAACCATCTAAAATGCATTAAAAAAGGAGACATAATGATGAGTAAATTATATACAAATACATATACGCATCACTTGAGGTCATGACTGACTTAAGTCTCAGTGGTACCATGGGCGGTGGGAGGGGAGCCTTATAAGTAAGTTATTCAGCACAGGTCACAATGTTACATTTATATATAAGTAAGTAAATTTATCAGGTAACCCCCCCCAAAAAAAAAAAGTTACACTAAGTGAATTTATGTCAATTGAGCCCTTCCATTTTTTCATTGGGATCCTGCTTATTTCCATTGGGATCCTTGTTATTTCCATTGGATCCTTGCTTATTTCCATTGGGATCCTTGCTATGTTCACTGGGATCCATTAGCTTATTTTCCTTACTTGGTCCAAGCTCCGTACTAATACTTACTCCTGAAGGCCAAACTGGATCCAAAAGGAGTCGTTCTCGAGGTAGGATCCTCCAGCTTGTACGACGTGAACCCTATCTAAATATGCATTTAAAAAAAAAATAGGAGACATTATATGATGAGTAAATTACTAATACAAAGTACATAGTACGCATATCACTTGAGGTCATGACTGACTTCAAGTTCTTCAGTGGTACTTATGGGGGGTGGGAGGGGAGCCCTTAATAAGTAAGTTTATTTAGGCACAGGTACACATGTACATTTATCATATATAGTGTAAATTACCTAGGATAACACCCGCAAAAAAGTTACACTAAGTGATTTATGTCAATTGAGGCCCTTCCATTTTTTCATTGGGATCCTTGCTTATTTCCATTGGGATCCTTGCTTATTTCCATTGGGATCCTTGCTTATTTCCACTGGGATCCTTGCTTATTTCCATTGGGATCCTAAGCCCGTACGAGTCATACAGCCCCATGGGGAATGAAAAGCACTCAGGTTCGATCCATGGAATGGGAATTCAGGTAGAGCTAGGACCTGCAACCTTCCCCGAACATCTGATTAGATGGAACTTAAAAAAAACACAAGTACCTTCTGTGACGGATCTTCACCAACTATAATATACAAATACAAGCCTTTATTTCTTAATGCAGTAAAATATAATGTCCCAGTTGTCAATGCATGTTACTGCATTTTCCTTACAGAAAATGCAGTAACATTCATTGACAACTGGGACCTCTTCTATGGCAGAAATGACATGTATGCCAGGGATGGGGTTCACTTATCTAGGTGTGGGGTGGGAGCACTGGCCAACGCAGTGGAGGGAGCTGTTAGGTCTTTAAACTAGGAATAGTTAGTGGTATGGGTTTTGGCGGGAAAACTGTGAAGTCGCAGGGTAGTAATATGAGTACTAGGAGAACTAGTAATAGGCAAAATGAGGTGGATATTGGAAAGCCAGTGACACTAATTGACAAGGACAGTAATAGGTTTAGTGGAATAACAGAAAGGAGCAGGAAGGGTAAAGAGAGAGGAGGGTCTTCAAATATTTATTACACAAATAGGTAAGACACATATGCAACAGTTAGACAACTTTATTCCGAAACGTTTTGCCTACACAGTAGGCTTCTTCAGTCGAATACAGAAAGTAGGCAGGAACAGTAGAGATGTGAAGACGATGTAATCAGTCCATCACCCTTGTAGTCGTAGAATTTGAGGTTGTCAGTCCCTCGGCCTGGAGAAGTTCAGTTCCATAGTCAGGAACTATCTGAAGATCAAGAACTGAACTTCTCCAGGCCGAGGGGCTGACAACCTCAAATTCTACGACTACAAGGGTGATGGACTGATTACATCGTCTTCACATCTCTACTGTTCCTGCCTACTTTCTGTATTCGACTGAAGAAGCCTACTGTGTAGGCGAAACGTTTCGGAATAAAGTTGTCTAACTGTTGCATATGTGTCTTACCTAACAACCTGTCGGTATTGTATACCATTTTGATGTTCATTACACAAATAGTCGCAGTGCTAGGAATAAGATGGACGAGTTGAGACTAGTTGCTAGTGCAGGTAACATAGATATATTTGCCATTACTGAGACGTGGTTTAATTCAAAAAGTCGGGACATGCCTGCAGAATGTCACATTCAGGGTTTCAAATTGTTCCAAGTAGATAGAAGTATCGGGAAGGGGGGTGGCGTGGCATTGTATGTCCGGATACCTGGAGTTTCCCTGGAGAGAGTTTTCGGGGGTCAATGCCCCCGCGGCCCGGTCTGTGACCAGGCCTCCTGGTGGATCAGCGCCTGATCAACCAGGCTGTTGCTGCTGGCTGCACGCAAACCCAAAGTACGAGCCACAGCCCGGCTGAACAGGACTGACTTTAGGTGCTTGTCCAGTGCCAGCTTGAAGACTGCCGGGGTCTGTTGGTAATCCCCTTTTGTGTGCTGGGAGGCAGTTGAACAGTCTCAGGCCCCTGACAAATATTGTATGGTCTCTTAAAGTGCTAGTGACACCCCTGCTGTTCATTGGGGGGGTGGTGCATCGTCTGCCAAGTCTTTTGCTTTCGTAGTGAGTGGGTTTCGTGTGCAAGTTCGGTACTAGTCCCTCTAGGATTTTCCAGGTGTATATAATCATGTATCTCTCCCTCCTGTGTTCCAGGGAATACAGGTTTAGAAACCTCAAGCGCTCCCAGTAATTGAGGTGTTTTATCTCCGTTATGCGCGCCGTGAAAGTTCTCTGTACATTTTCTAGGTCGGCAATTTCACCTGCCTTGAAAGGTGCTGTTAGAGTGCAGCATAAAAACGGGTATTAAGTCTGAAGTAACACATACAGAGTCTGTTTGGATAGAATTTTCAGAGGGGCATGAAAAATTAATTTTAGGTGTGATATACCGTCCCCCAAATTTAGATAGGGACCAGGGGAGACTACTATGGGAGGAAATTGTTAGGGCCACAAGGCACGATAATGTAGTAATTCTAGGAGACTTTAACTTTAGTCATATTGATTGGAATTTCTTGACTGGGAATTTAGAATCATACGACTTCTTAGAAGTAGTTCAGGATTGTTTTTTGAAGCGAGTTTGTGACAGAACCTACAAGGGGTAATAACCTGCTTGACTTAGTTCTGGCAAACAATGAATCCTTGTTAATAATTAGAAGTTTCAGAGGAACTGGGTGCTAGCGACCACAAATCAATTACATTTAGAATTGAATGGAAGTATGATAGTAGGGATAACTCAGTAACAGTCCCAGATTCTCGCTTAGCAGATTACGATGGGCTTAGAGAACACTTATCATCTGTTGACTGGGGTAACGAAGAGAGCTATCAATATGACAGTTTTCTGAGCACAATACATGCTGCTCAAAGAACGTTTATCCCTTACAGGGAAATTAGATCAAATAGAAATGGCCCAAAATGGATGAATAATAGGCTGAAATATCTACTAGGGCATAAGAAAGGAATTTATAGGCGTATCAAAAGAGGCGAGTGTCATCTTATGAATCAGTATATTGACATTAAGAGGGACATTAAAAAGGGGATAAGAAAAGCTAAAAGGGACTATGAAATTAAAGTTGCTAGGGATTCTAAAACTAACCCAAAAAGTTTTTTCCAGGTCTATAGAACAAAAGTCAGAGATAAGATAGGTCCCCTTAAAAATAACTATGGGCATCTTACTGACAAAGAGAATGAAACGTGCTCGATTTTAAATAATATTTTCTCTCGGTTTTTACACAGGAAGACGCTAATAATATTCCGGTAATTAATTTTTATAGTGGATCAGAAGAAGATAAATTATGTAACATCACAGTCACTAGTGAAATGGTGCCTATATAAACGTCAGTCTTCTTGCCTTTGCTCCAGATTCTCCTCCACCACGATGCTGTGAACACTAACTCCAAGGCTGAGGGACTGATTACCTCATCTTTTGTATATAGTTCTACTGTCTTCCTATTATGTCCTAGAATCTGTATTGATAAAGCCACTGGATGGCGAAACGTCTACAATAAAGATATCCAGATGTTGCACATGTGTCTTAACTTTCATATTGTCGGTATTTTATACCTTTCTTACACAACTTGTCAGACACTGCAACATCATGGAATCTTGGTTCAGAGGACATCTACAAGACCTTCTTCACGGCTGCTGCAACTAACCCATCTCTTTGGGAAGGACCTACTTCCACTGGGGAATCCCGCCTACCAGTGACTGCCCTCGTCTGCTGCCCGTCCCTTCCACTGACGCCTATATAAACGTCAGTCTTCTTGCCTTTGCTCCAGATTCTCCTCCACCACGATGCTGTGAACACTAACTCCAAGGCCGAGGGACTGATTACCTCATCTTTT